GAATTATGACTCATAGAGTGTTTTAAGTCCAATTTAACTTTCAAATTATGTGGTGCGCATATGTATATAATCGTGGCCGTTATGCTATGAAAACAAATATATCTAATTAATAAAATCTAGCCACGATTAATACTATATGAAGTTTACTTTGAAAACATGCAACAGAAGCTAATGAACTCAACTTTGCCGTGAATCTACATAACTTGTATTTTAACGTCATTTTTCATTTACTTTCTTAAACATTCCACACATTTTTAATGTCCCATATCTTCTGCATACCTAAAACTCACAAATAACGAATCCAGAAAAATCGAAAGTTACATATACAATGTATTTGTGTACATACATATGTACGTATGTACGTATGTCCTGTTTCCCTTATAAATAATTCAACGCACTGTGCGTTGTTTGTCATCAACGCCAGCGTCAGCGTCGCCAGAGACGTCGACGAAGTCTGCGTCAGCGCCTGTTTTTGATCCATTTTGACAGCAAATGGCGGCAACATGAGCAAAACAGCAGCGGAAATGAAGGCGTTCGTTAGACCAAACATGACACTTACAAGCACCAATAACAATAATAACAACAGCAACAACTATAATAATAATAAGAGCAACAATAACAACAGCGGGAAGACTTTGTAGCGTGACAAACAAGCGTCGGTTTTGGCTTTAAAAAAATGCAGCCAAATGATTTGTGCAATTTAAGGCCAGCGAACAGTGACAACAACAAGAAAAAGCCAGGTGAGAGCTGCTAGTGAGAGCCAAACGAAATTAAACAGCACACACACACACACACACACATAGGCATGCATACGAAACGCGACCACAAAACGAATTAAATAAATTCAAATGACAACAAAAACGCAACAACAATCGTACAACAAAAAGTGGTTTGTGGCTGAGCGGCGAAAAAAAAAACAAAAACAAAAAGGGAATAGAAAAAATTGTTCAAAATAGCGACTACAAAACGGTGACAGCAACAATAACAACACCAACAACAGAACAACCATAAAAGCAACGCAATCAAATGATAATAAAAAAGCGCCGATTACGCTGACAGCACAACGACGCCGACGTCGATGGCGGCTGAGGTAGCGATGGCGTCGTACACACATACACACACACATGCGCGAAATGCCGTTGATTATGCATGCGTGAGTGAGTTCGATCGTTTTGTATGTGCGCGTGGAGCGCCAAAGGTGAAATGAAGAAGAAGAAGAAGCAACAGCAGAAGCAGAAACGGCAACGGCAACAACAACAGTAGCGGAGCGACAACAGAAAGCAATTCAAATGCAAAACAATTTTCAAATGTCGAACTCAAAAAATGTGAAGAAGAACAACAAAACGATAACAGCAGTCAAAAGAACAACAAAAAGACGCATAATTTGTATAAACAACAACAACAACAAATCGTGTATTTCTTTGCCCACTTTCGTGTGGGGTGGGTGTTGTTGTAGATGTTTCGATTCTGCCGTTGTTGTTGCAACAAAAGGAATATACAAATATATTGATTGAAAATCAATAGCTTGACATTTTGTAGATTGAAATGTTACAAAAGCTGGCACACATACAGTTTGCACACGTACATATGTATGTATGTAAACACATGTCTATGGAAACAATTTATGCATGTGTGTATGTATGATGTCTGTTTACATACATATATGCATGAGCTGCATGCATACATACATATGTATGTATTCCATGTGCGTATATCGGAACGACAAAATTTAAAAGCGCGGCTTGAAATATGTATACAAAACGTGCACGTTGGGTAGGTACATACAGATGTATACACGTATGTATGTTTGTAATGCCCGTTGTAGCAACCCCTGCCAGCAAGAGAAGCAACAACAGTACCCCAACCTTACAAACCTATGTACATACATATGTATTAAATACACATCTACAACAAAACTGACAACTAAAACAAAATGGCAAAAAAAAATGTCAACACACTTTTAGCTGCTGCCTCTGTCTCTGCCTTTGCTGTAGTTGTCTGTGCGGCGTTTTTGGGGGCTCTATAATCAACGTTGTTATTGCTGTTGTGCGGTTGTATGTACATATGTACTATGTGAGGGCGCAAAAAAGCAGAAAAAACCCAAAATAACAAAATAAGTAGAGCACCCCAACTTAGCACCACACGTCAGCGCCCGCGTCAACGTCAGTGTAAGCGCTGACTGCGACGCCACACGAAGCCACCAGCAGCAAAACTAAAACAGCATAAGCCACACTTACACACACACACACACACACAGACACACTCATAAACTCTCACTCACGCACTAAAAGAGCGCCATTTAAGTCAGCCTGTCAGTTGTCAGTTAGTTAGTCAAATGGTCTGCCGTTCTGTCAGTTTGTTGCTCTCTCGCTTGGCAGCGTCATATGCACTAGAGTTGGGGCTGCCCGGTTCGATCTAGTTCCAATGCCCGGGTCTTTAAAAGGAACTACTGCGCTATGTCTTTGGGCTTGGTTCCTTTAGTTTCTCTATTAGATTATTTCGATCGCTGAACGAATTGGTTGGCAGAATAAATTCGTTATTCGAATTGAATGGAGAAGATTTTTTAAAGAATTTTGTTGTCAGGAAAAGTTGCCTATTTGTAAATAAAAAAACATGTCAAACATGTACGCTGTTTAATTGTTCTTTTTGTAATTTATTTGCGTTTGACGGATGCAGACAGAGTTCGGATAGGGAACTATTTCACAAAGTGAACTAGATATTCAAGCTCTAATATGCACTGAAGCAGCAAATAAACCACGTATTCACACACACATACACAGATACACACCCACCGATACACATACACAGTCACTCTCGCACTTACAACGTCGAGCTCTAGCCATACAAAGTTATTTAAACACGTATACGAACCTCAACAGTTTTTCAACATTTTGTTGCTATTTTCGCAGCTGTGGCTCTGCTTTGGGGCTCTGCCGAAGCTGCTGTTGCAGTCGCTGCCGCTGTCGCTGCTCACTTAAACGCTGTTTCTGCTTCTTCTTCTTTATTAATTTTTATTTTGTATGGCTTGTGTTTGTTTTGTATTTGCTTCTCTGGCTTGATTATGTTTATTTTTTTGCTTTTTATTTAACTAATTTTGTAGTACGTTGTTGTTATTGTGGTAATTTATATTAAACGCGTGCTCTCTTTTGATATTTTTAATACATATCTGTTGTACAAGTATATGTTTGTTTATACGCCTGCATTCTTGCTTGACACTGATATTGTAAAGCAATTTTTGTTGTACCTTTTCATTGAATTATCATTTTTGTACTGCCACACTCACACAGGGGTACATATGTATGTATGTAGGCTTTCTGATATTTTACATTGGCGCGAACGTTCTTCTTCTTCGTCTTCTTGTACCACTTGGCATAAATTTTCCTTAGCACTCAAGGTAACGCACACGGGTCGTATACGCGTTGTCGACGTTTTGATAAAACTTGCACTTGTGTTGTAAAGAGCAAAGACATAGAATCACAGTTATATTTCGTTAATTTGATTTTTGTTGCTATTGTGTTGTTTTTTGTTGCGCGAATTAGATATGATTTAAACGTCAGCACAAAACAAAATGCACAGAACATACACATATAGACCGATGTACATACATGCATACAGACACTATAGCCGGCATTGACAACGTATGTATTTTGTATTTTTTATTAGCCGTTATTGTTGCTGTTGATGTTGGTTCTTTGGGGCAAAAGACAGTGTCGGCGTTGATGTTGACGTCGCAGCAGCGTAGCGAATGAGAAAATACTAAGCGACGCGGCGTAAAGAAATGTAAAGAACAAAATATATGCATATATGTATGTATATACTAGCTATGTATGTGGGGTATATAAAACACGAGAACGTAGTTGTAGTAGTAAATATAAAGTTAACAACACAACGACAACGAACAACGCAAAGAAATAAACACACGCGCCGTGCGTTACGTGCGCACAAGTCGACAGTTGAAACACGAATGAAGCAACGGTAAAGCACGGTGAGAGTAAATGAGTCGTTGGCTCAGACGTGGAGCTGCACGCGCCAAAACGAACGCCAGTCAGTAAAAGTACAGAGCGTATGAGAGAAAGGGCGGGAGTGAGAGAATTAAAGAGAGCGGTCACACAGGTGGTTTGTGTTTCGGTTTTTGTTGTTTTGTTTGTTGTAAGCGGGGAGGTGGGATCTTGGTGCAAATTGAATTGTTATACATTCTGACGTTACCGTTAAAAAATATCGTCTAGCTTGTTTGTCTATTTGTTGACGATATGCACGGGACCATTCTTCAATGTTATTGAACTAGTCATGCAGATTTAATTAGATGTGTTAAAAGAAGCGTAAGTCACCTTTGGTATTGTATATACATACAGTTGTACATATGTACAGGTGTATACTCTTTTTGACCAATCAACAACCCAAAAGCAGTCTAAAATAAATACTACTTTTTATTCATATGAGTGCATGTACCCTATTAAAAGCCAAAATACGTTTGCATGTTTCACTACAAATAATAAATGTAAATTATTATTTGTATAATGTGTGTAGATAAAAAGAAGAGGAACGACTAAAACGTCTTTTATTGTCCAAGCCTTCGGCTTAGCTACAATACACCTGTTCATGTAAAGTAAAGGGTATGTAAATGTATGTTAATTATGTTAAAATATTATCGCATATCATGAATCAACTTTAAGTGATATTCCAATTAAATCACAAACATATTTCACATTTATAAAGAAATTTTTCAAATTTCACATGCCAGCCAATCAACAAAATAAAGTACACACATAAATTATTTACTATAATCATACTCACCCCCATTGTAGCGCCAAAGTATTCAAACCTTTTCCCTGTCTGGTAGCGCGCAGAAGAAAGCTGCCTATGCCATCTTTTTCTGATAGTGTGGCAACTTTACGCTCGCGTGCTCCTTTACAGCACTATGCAAAAAGCTTGTTATCATGCATGAATCACATTGTTTTTGTTTTTATTGTTTACGATTTCGTCATAGCTTCTACGTTGTTTCAGTCACATATTCATTCTCGCCGTAGTATTACTTCGTATTCGAAGGTTGGTAATCACTGCTCGAAAGTGCTAACAAGTACCAATTGACATGAAGGGCGAGTTAATTAGCCAAGAACTACGTGGAAAAGTAACTGTCAAAATGTAAGTCAAGAAAACAATAATAATAAAAATAAAAAAAAAAAACAATAATATAATAATAATAATAAATCTTCTTATCAAAAATCTAGCCAAGATATGTTACCTCACGCCAAAGAGACTGAAAAATTTGCCCGCGCAATAGAAAACCAAATATACGAAAGATCGAGAACCAAAGAGGAGTATTTTGATTTGGTGGCCAGCAACATATGCTACAGGGATATATCGCAGGACTGGCAAAGCCATACCTTTCGCCAAAATGTTGTTGACAAACTGTAAGTATACGGAAACGACAAACAAAATTATACATCTTATACAATAGTTTTTCCGTTCATCAGAAAATCGGTTCTTCCCCCTAAAAATGAACTCACAAATATCATCCTGACGGAGAGTTATATATTTTCCAAGGCTAGGAGTAAACACGAATACCTAAGCATGATATCAAAGGTTTATATGTACTTTGCCCAACAGCAATAATCTCGAACCATTGATTGTATGTGGGTTGAAGGAAGCAATCTGTGTTCATAATTGTTAAGCAAAACTAGTAAAGTCTTTTAGAGAAATCTATTCATTTTTATATTTTTTTAAATAAATAAAGCTTTGAACTTACAACATCTTATGAAATTGCATTATTTCACATTATTAATCTAAAAACACAATGACTTATCAATATACATACGTAATGGCGTTGCAATTACAAATGAAATGACGAATGTGAGTAGGAAGATAAAATTTGAATAGGCATCGAACAGGTCAGGAGGTGGAAGCTTTCATCTGGAACTTGTGTGTGATTGTCTACACAAAAAGGTATGTGGACGCGCAGAAAGGAATCGTACAGAAAGAAAACTTGTGAGGTGAAATACCTACAAAAACGAACAGTATCTTAAACTTAAACTGTCAGCAATTTGCACTGTCTGTCTGGCCAAAAAGTGAATCGTCATAAAGGTATGTCGCTCTCCACATTGCCTCCGAAAGTATGTTTTTGTTGGGTAAACAGGAAATAGATACATACATGCGTACACATATTTTTTCTGTTTTGAATTCTTATTCAAACACTGTATACTAACTCGTAACAATTCACAAGCCCATATTTTTAATATCATTCCAGCTAAATTCAATGACTCAGAAAGTGAAGCATCAACATAGGCTTTTGGCAATCATAAATGAACTGTAAATGTAAACATTTGAATAAAAATATATTTAGATCGTCTATTGGGTCTACAAAAAGTCTCAGAAAAGTTAAATTCGTTTTAAATCTAATATTTTAAATGCAACTGTGCACGCAAACATTCATATCTCAGATTGGCTTTTTGAAAACTTCTGCTGACTCGGTTGATGAACAGAACGCGATGAGTTCGACGGCTATGGCCGAATTTCTTCAGTTCAACAGTTGATTTGAGAGAGTAATGGGTATAAATTGACTTTGTTTTTAAAGAAAGAACTTAAATGTATGTAAAAAAATGTATTGGAGCCATTTGCAATTAACAAACAGTATTGTTTCTAACTGAGACATATAATTCCACACGCTATTTCACACCCAAAAAATTAAACGATTGACGAAATTGCTTTAAAAATATACATACAAGTACATACATACAAATGTATATTCGGATGACGATTTTGACGACTTCGAGTCTGCTTAAGAAAGTACTGTTATCCCTACAACAGTCTGCAACGAAATCGGCTTTAAATAGCCACGATTTGATTAATATTGGTAATTAAACTAACAAAGTGTTGATTAATAAATAAACACCAGCGTATATTGCTTGTCTACCCTAAAATTTATTTGAAACTAACACATTTATTTATTAAATTTCTTTTGCTTTTTTACAATCATACACATTATCAAGTTAATCCATTAAAAAGTATTTTATGCTGTAAAATTACCAGATATAAAACTGTTGGCTTTAAAAAATTATTTATTAATAAAAAAAAAATAAAACTTGCACCTTTGAAAATATCGGTCGACTTATGAATTAAAAGACAATATAATAAATAATTGCTTGGTTTTCTGCTTAAAACATTTCTAGTGCTGCCATACTGCCAGGAATACCGATGTGGCAACTTTGGCGCATCCACGCACACAAATAAGTGATGTGAACTATAGTTATTTATATATCAGAGTCGCAGAAAAGTAGTTATTATAGTAACAAAAATATTGACATTTATAAGCTAGTTATAATATAATTATTATTGTCTACTAAATAAGATTGCAAATTAACTAAACAGTGACTCGATCTGATACTCCTACAATGGTGATAAAGTAACAGGAGCAAGAGTGTGTCATCTCTATAGAAAATTGTTGCTGTCGCTTTGGTTTTTTGCACGTCGGACTGTCGTTTAAACTATTATCATTATGACGGAGGAGTGGCAGAGCCAAAAGTTTCGTCAGAATGTAATATCCAAAATGTAAGTGCAAGATATATGCATTCAACGATCGCATTTTTACTGTTTTTGTTTCTTTTTAGCAATGATGTTTTGCCACAAACTGGCGATCCATCAAAAAGTGCCAATGTTATGGAGAATCACATATTTCGCAAGTCCCGCACCAAGGACGAGTACTTGGGCATGGTGGCCAAACTCTTTATGCACTACAAAGACATATCGCGCAAGTCTATGCAGCAACAACAACAGCAGCAGCAACAACAACAGCAGCAACAACAACAACAGCAGCAGCAACAGTCGGCACCACCGAACGCTGAAATAGGTCAGCAAAACATGATGCAGAATCCCCTAAATGCTCTGCAAAATCTTGCCAACCAGGGCAATCGTAATTCACAGCTGATGTCCATGCCTGGAGGACCGGGACCGAATCAGATGGCTGGTCCCGGTGGCCAGGGCACTGCCTCTAACTTGCTGCAAACGCTGAACCAACAACGGCCAGGTCAGCAAATGCAACCGATGCCCAACATACGTGGCCAAATGCCAATAGGTGCGGGTGGCGGCCAGCAGATGGTGCAAGTGCAGGAAATGAACGCTTGTGGTGGACCTGGCGGCGCGGGCATGCAGCTGATGGGCGCTGGTGGTGCGCCACAGGGACAGATTGTGGGCAATGCCACACAGCAGATGGGCGGCATGCCCAATCAAATGACAGGACCTGGAGGGCCCAATGCTGGCTTGCCAAGTGGTGCCGGTGGTGGTAACAACGCAACGCCTGGAAACGCCGGTCCCGGGCCCAATCAGATGCAGAGCGGACAGATTAATGTGAATGCCATGAATGTGCAGCAAATGCCGTCCATGCAACAAAATCAAATGGGGGTGAGTAGACGAATATAAATACTCTTACTAATTTCAATTTAACACGAATTACCAATTTATAGATGGGCATCAACCCAATGATGAATGTGCGGCTAAATCAGGGCAATGGCATGAATGTGGGACCCAATGGTATGCCACCAGGTATGCAGGGCATGCCACCAAACATGCAACAACAACAGGGCGGTCCAATGCAACAGCATAATGTGGGCGTTGGCGTCGGCGTAAGTGGTCCGGCGGGCCAGCAACAAGTGGGTGTGCCACCCAATGCCCTGCAACAAGGCGGTATGAATCCTATGCTGAATGTGAACATGCCTCCAAATATGCAGCAAAAGCCCAACATGGCTATGAGTCAAGCCGGCCAAATGTTTCCGGGCAATCGTGGCGTTGGTGGCGTTGGCGGCGTTGGTGGTGTCGTTGGAGGCGGTCAGCAGCAACAGCAGACCTTCATGCGCTCCAGTCCTTCGCCGGCCGACGCTCAACTGCAGTTACAACAGCAGATGCAACAACAACAACAACAGCAGCAGCAGCAACAACAACAACAAATGGTGGGTAATCAGACGCCCACACAGCAGCCACAAACCCCACAAATGCCAACATCACAAATGATACCAAGCCCAGCGCTGGTGCCACAATCCAGCCCACAAATGATGATGCAGAACCCACAGCGTGCCATGCATCAGCAATCGCCGGGTCAATCGATTAACACACCCGGACAGGTCACTGGCAACAGTCCCTTCAATCCCCAGGAAGAGCCACTTTACCGCGAGAAATACAAACAGCTTACCAAATACATTGAGCCACTGCAGCGGATGCTGGTCAAGTTACGCAACGACGGCACCAGTAAGTAGAAAAGCGAAGAGTGACAACTTATTTGCTTTCATTCGAATGTTATTATTATAATTTCTATTCTTATTATTAAGGTAATACGCTTAGATACGATTTTTCTCTTAAAAGTTTCCTGTAAGACTTTTTCAATTCGATCGACCTCTCAATTAATTCGTTTAGACTAATTTTCAGGGTTATTTTTAAGTTGTTAAGTGTAAAATGTCGTTAATAATTCCCATGAGGTTCTAAAGCTAAGCGCAACAAAAATAAGATTGAAATTCTCTTAAAATTTGCCGCTGCAGCCAAATATTTTCTATTCATACAGAAGATTTTGTTGTATTTACTAAAATACCCATTTATGAATTACCTAGAAGGTATTAATATTTGCAAAAACTTTTCAAAAGAGTTTAATATTGACCCCTATGCGTGGTTTTTTGGTAACTTCCATGGCCATGGGTCGTTAAGTACATGCCCTACTGTGTCCGTACTATCTAATCTTTCATCCTCATTCATGATAATCACTTACGGCCTTCGAGTGGTGAGATAATATGACAACATACTTAGTTTCGTTCACATCTACATATAGAAATAAATAACAAATGAAATGTTTTCAGCCTTTAAATCGTTCATCTCTGAAAGTTCGGACCTGCGACAAGTTATATCATGTTTAGCACACGATATATTCAATATTTTACGTTAATGGCATACGATATTTATTTAATAACATTAATTGTATAAACAAATTATTACGATTTAACACAGCCTTAGCCAAAGCCACTTTAAGCGTTTTATTCAAAACCTTTTTCAATTATTAAATTTGAGACATACACATCATTTATTGGCCAAAGAAACTTTGTGCAATTTAATGCCAATTTAAATGCTAAGTTCCTTCCCATATAAAGCAATGGTTTAATTATATTAATTATAGGTGTAACGTTATATTAGTTATGTTTGGGAGAACTTCTCAAGCCATATAAGCGAACAGACAGATATATCAGCACTCGAATTTAATTCGAGAAACTTCCTCAACAAATTTGCATTCGTGAATATTTCTCGAACTTGATAACACGTTGCCCACAAATTGCTAATGAATTAACAAAGTGATAAATATATTGTATTACCTTATTATATAGAGATAATGTAATGAATTAACAAAGTGATAAATATATTGTATTACATTATTACATAGAGATAATATAATTAATTAGTAGAGTTTTGTAGAGTTGCAAAACTGATATCTTCCATAAAACTAATCATATTCATATCGTTCTTTCAATTATAGATGTTGAGAAAATGACAAAAATGAGCAAATTACTGGAGGTCCTGTGTAATCCTTCACAACGTGTGCCGCTGGACACACTGCTCAAGTGCGAGAAGGCCTTAGAGAAAATGGACCTCTTCAGTTCCTATTCGGGTCAGCAATTTGGCGTAAGTATTGGCGCACCTATAGGTTCAGATACAGCTTTTATTTAAGCTTCTATTTTCTGCTCAGAAATCATCAAATGCATTGCTGGAGGTCCTGAACACCACTCTGCAAAGCCCTATAGCAAATCACACGCTGCATCGCACATTTCGTCCTTGCTTGGAGCTGCTTTTTGGCACTGACATTTGTGCACCGGTGCCGCCAAAGCGTCCACGCATCGAGGAGAAGAGCTCCCCCTTTGAGCAGGAGGTGCCACATGTCCTGCAAGGGGAAATCGCGCGTTTGGATCAAAAATTCAAAGTCAAATTGGACACCACCGCTCAAACCAGCAACAAGGCCATTAAGCTCATCTGCTGCCTTGATGACAAACGATTGCCCAGCGTGCCGCCCGTCAGTATAAGCGTGCCCGAGGAATATCCTTGGCAAGCTCTAGATTGTTCGCTCACCGATCAGGAATACTCGGCCACTCCGTTCTTGAAGACGGTACAAGAGGCACTTATGGCGCGCATGGCGAAGCTACCCAAGAACTACTCGCTGTCCCATCTTCTGGACACTTGGGAGATGGCAGTGCGTCAGGCATGTTCGCCTCAGGCTAAGGTTAAGAATATATGCGAGATAACTACTTTGCTAGGTGTTTAGGAAAATATTATACATAGACTTCTATAGTTGGGATGTCAGTTTATTGGTCCCCAATACCAAATCCTTCCCCTTTTCGCATGTGCATGCTAATTGTAATATCTGTCCAATTCAGGTTACTATTCTTCCGATCTGATATGGTGTCATAAATTTGAAATTTACTGCGTGGTGAGGTTTTTTAATTGCCTGCAATAACAATATTAAGGAAGTGGTGACGAATGCCTTTGATGCGATAACATCTCACTTCAAAACGTGTATTTTTTATAACGATTATTTATGTTTTATCAGCCTTATTGGCGTTTAATTATCTCAGTAGCATGAAATGTATTTTATAATTAATACTTTAATCATCCCAAAAGGAACTAAGACCATCCGAAATCTGTTACATTTTCATTTAATTAAAACAAATTATTTATTTAACAACTAATCTAAGCAATTGGCAACGCAAATTTCAAAGTTTTCTATCGTTGCTTCAGACATAAGAGATACAAGCAATATAATTTATCATCTCTCGAATCACATTATTAACAATCAACAACAAAATAAGTTAATTACTTTGTTCCCGGTCATTCCATTACGCAATCTCCCAATCCAGGTATACCAGGTTTCCAAGATTTAAACTGTTATTCCCAATTCACACAGCATTTTGTCGGGTTTGGAGGAATACAAATTAATTAACGGCGAACAATCGTGTATAGTTATAGTTATCTGAAAATTGTTGTAAACCCAACCAATAAAATACAACGCAAAAATTATAGATTATTTTGGAAAATATATTTCTTAGCTTATCTTTTCTTGAGAGTCATTGAGATTTGTTTTTTTTTCTTTCTTTTTTTCAAGGTTTTTTTCCAAATTGATTTTTTTTCGCTTTATCTGTAGCAATAAATACAATTGTTTGCACTTATATGTAAGAAGTTTAGCGTAGGAAAATGTACACAAGAATAAATTGCATTTAGAAAATAGTTAAGAAAAACTTAAATATCACAGATTTTCACTATATAATATTTACACATACAAAGATCTTGCAAGTACGGCTGCTGCCATAACTTAAATTTGTTTTGTTTTTTGAATGAAAAGCAAGAATAATAATAATACAAGTAGATCGCAAAACATGCTTGCGAAGATCAAAGCGTAGACACTAAAGGCTAAAAAGTTATTGAATTGAAATTGATATACGCATAGGTTGTTTGAAACTAGAACTACTAAAACTAATAATAGATAATAGATCCACTAATTATAAATTTAAACTTAAATTATTCTACATAACTTGTGATCTTACGCTGACGCAGCTAATTGCCAGAAACTGTTGCCAACTGGTAGGATATACATAGGTCTAAAAATGATATTTCAAGATGATGTTCAACCGAGTTCCACCAAAATTTTAGTGTAAGTTTTCAATTTTTGATTGGCAACAATTTGTTGGCAGGTGTGAATGGACCATAAAACACAATTGTTCTCCAGCTGTCCACTATATATACTACACATGTAGATAGGTACATTTTGCTCCCTTGCGATTCCTTTTTGTGTTTTCTTCTTGCTTTTTGTGACTACTAAGGACTACGATGTGGTGGATATGAGAGTATGAGGGGAGGGGGTGGGGTGTGCTACTGATTATACTATCTCCATAGATTGGCATCCGCTTAGTGCTGTGCTTGTGCCTGCAGCAGGGCATTAAAGTTGCCAAAGGTGTTTGTGGCCTGCTGTTGTAATCTCAACAGATCCTGGGCGCTGTAGACTTGCAATGTGGCGGCAGGTGTGGCCGCAGATGTTGTTGCTGGCGCAATTTGTACGATATTGTTGTTGCTGGTGGTGGTGGCGGGCGCAATGGCGCGCAGATGTAACGTCGGTAGTCCGTGAGCCGCTACCGCCAGATTGGCCGTCTCACAGAGAGCCGCCGCACTCACATTCCGATTAACGCCATTGGCCTTATCCTTGTTGTGGCGCTTCACATGTTTGGAGAGGTGATCGCTGCGCATGAATTTCTTTTGGCACACACAGCATTGGAATTTCTTTTCGCCGGTGTGGGTGCGCTTATGGCGTGAGAGTTCGTCGGAGCGGGAGAAACGCTTATCGCAGTTGTCCCACTTGCAGATGAAGGGACGTTCGCCGGTATGAACGCGCTGATGTGCCTTCAGATGGCTGGATTTGAAGTAGTTTTTGCCACAATCCGGATGACTGCACTCATAGATGCGACTGCGTGTGGCGGCCGCTTGGGCGGCTGTTGTGTTGCGTTTACTGCTAGAGATGCTGATGGCTGGAGAGGATGTGGTTGCGTTGGCGCATGCAGAGGCGGCTGCAGAGGCGGCTGCTGCTACTGTGCTGAGCAACAATAGCGGTGTGGGTGGGGCCACAGCTGTGTTCGTGGCTATGTACAGGTTTTTGGGAGATAGTAGCTGGTATTGCTGTTGCTGCTGCTGCTGCTGGGGTTGCTGAACTGTTGCGGGTAGTGTGAAGCAGGTGGGGATTTGTTGGTGCTCCGTTGGTGCAGCGGCTGGCTGTTGTTGTTGCTCTTTCTGCTGCTGCTGTTGTTGTTGGTGTTGTTGTGAGGAATCGGGTAACGCCACCTCGGCGGCACGTTTGCGGTTCATTTTAAATTTCAAATTGCGCCAAACGTTCGCCTCCGCATAGTCATCGTCATAGCTGCTGACAATGTTGCTGTTGGAGCTGCTGCAGCTGGAGCTGTTCTCATCCAGTGTGGAGCAGACGCCAGAGCTGTTGACGCGCATAATAACACTGACACGTTGCGGTTCCTTTTCGTCTACTTGATCCTGCTCATGCTCGTGCTCTTGCTCCTTCTCTACATGTTCTGGTGGCGGCGTTAAAGTCACCGCCGGTTGCTCCAAACGCGCCTTTTTGCTGGGCGCCACATCGCCAGCCTCATCTTCTGTGTCGGAAGGATTCGGCGTGATGATTCCATTATTCTTTTGAGCCACCAATTTCAGCTTGGCCTTGAGTAAGTTTTCATTCACTTGTTGTTCATCCTTAGCAACCTGTAAGAATCAAAGATGAAGCAAAACGAAATAATGATTAGTCAGCTTGTCTATCTGGTGAGTTCAATGACTTTGAAACACCTACAGAGTCCAGGCATTCACTCTTTCGTGAACGCTTTTGACCTACAATAACTTTTGCCGTAAAAATTCGCTAATTACCGATCGACTGCGGCGCCAGCAGCGCTGCCCATATCAGCGACCGCTGCAAGGCCGTTCACATTTAACCTTAACCCATCCATAACGCCCGCACCACGACCACCAACAATCGCAAAATGTCATTGCACGACGCATTTTCATATTGTATTAAGTTTTACATTTTTATGAATTTTATATTTTTTATGCCAGTTTCTTGAACTTGAACATTTGTATTTAAGCCTTTTTTAGCAGTTGGCCATAAATTAAGCGCTTGAATTTTGAATGCGCGAGTTCATTGAAATTTTTCGTTTTCAAAGAGCCAAAAAGCAGGCAATGAAAATTATCAGGCCATCGCACCAATATAACCGCTATATATGTATGTATGCATGCATATACATATACATATATTGTGAATGAGTTCCAGTGCAGCGGAAGCCTTGAGGTTTACACTGAGCGAAATAATGACGTAGAATTGTGCTGTTTGTTAAATATCTCTTTTTAAATAGAAAATGTATTTTCTGATAGATTAAAAAATTCGATCGTAGAATTTCATACATAAAAATGTTGAGGTACAGTTAATTAAATCTTTATGGGCACGGCACGTTGCTATCTGTTTATTTATTTGTTCTTTTTTATGCTATCGTCAGATAAGCAACAGAAATGTGACATATTTTATATGGTCTTGTGGGTTTATCTGACGACTATCTGGTTGGGGCTTGGCCCTGTTTGTTTTCGCCGCTTCCCGTGTCTCTAATTGGCGACTCACCTTCAGTTGAACGTATGTATGTGAATGTTTGCTCTCAAATACAAATGTGTTGCGCTCTCAGGCTGCCTACGTCAATATTTCTACGCTCTCTCTAGCACTCACATACACACGCACACATACACAAGTTTTTTCTCTCGCACACTTGCTGCGCATTCCCACATTTACCAGTCAGTCAGTCAGCCAGCTAGCTACAACAACCAAAACAACGCTCTGCACATTGGGCCTAACTACATCAATTCTTTGTTAAAACACTACAATTGTTTTTTTTTTTAGTTTTAAGCTAATGGTTGATTTAATTTTTTAGGAAAATTTATTGTCTTTTAATTTGAAAACTGAGCAAAGTTCATTTGTTTTAGTATTATAATTATGTTTCAGTGATAACGTTTTGTCAACATGTTTGAATGTTTTATATAATAAAAATGGTATATCTCTTACAGACGGATTGAGATAAGACGGATTGAGATAAGAGTATACATGTGGATTCCAAAATGTTAAGTGTTTCAACTTGTGCATTTCCTGTCAGTAAAACCTCTGTATGTTAAGAGCAACTCATTTTAAGTAACAAATTAGAAACCACCAAAGCTATACATATGTATGTGGCGTCGCCTAAAACTATTAATTTTGCCCAAAAAACAATGTCTTTAGGTCCACTGTGTGGCGTTGAGGTCCAATGTTCGCCCTGGCTCGACTGTCTGTCTGTCTGTTCGTTGTATTATTTGTGTGTGTGTATGTATGTGGTTGTGTATCACTCGCTGTGCATGCGGTGTTCACGTGAACGCGTGCCCACTGCGTGATAGCATTGGGGCCACATTGGGGCACGTTGGTGAGAGCGGGATAGACGACTTTTGTTTTTAGAAACATAGCAAGTGGGAACGCGATGGGGCTACTTTATGACTTGCCTTGCCTCTGGCATACCATGCTATTTTTTTACCCCACTGCGTGATTTGTTAAAAGCGAAGGCGTCGTCGTGATCGCTTGTGTGTGCGTGATGGAAGGTGAAGGGGGCACCAAAAGTGCGGGAATTTTTGTCTGTTATTTTTTCGTCAACTTTTACGTTGCACTCGCTGCACGCGTGTAATGGTTAAGTTGCTGCGTGTCTGCATATTTGAATTGGAACTGTAAAGTGGGTGTGTGTATTGAGTGTGTGATGCATTTTTTGCACTGCACTGCACTTTATAGGTCATATTAAAAATTAAGAAAGAAGATAAGATTCCCTGTCTCTTATATGAGTCAGTCATTTTGAGTCACTAACTTACGGTTGCGGTTGATGATGATGCTTTTTCAGTTTCTAATATTTTTATTTTTTTGTGCTGAACTTACCGTTTCCATTTTATTTTCACGCAACGGCGGCGTTGCTGGCGGTGATGGCAGCAATGCTATATCCATTTTTGTTATTGTGTGGCGTCTGTTTTAATCCAAAAAATTATGCACTTTGCACTCTTGCAGTTATAATATTTTTGTACCACTTTTACTGGCACTTGGCAATGTCTTTTTTTTTGTCTCTTTTGAAGTTTTGCAGTTTATCACTAGGTTTTTAAAGTCTTCTTTGGCTGCGCTTTTTTTGTTAGTAGTTCCGTTTAACAGCAAAAAGCTATATTTTTTTAAACTTCTGTTAGCTCGCGGTAACAGCTTTGGGAGCCGAGTGAACGAACCGTATCGTTCGAAATTCAACAGACGAATGAACAATAATTGTGCTGCAAGCAGCCAGCAGACCAGCGACGTCGACCGTCGACGCTGACGTCGCACACACACAGACTGAGTCGGAGCGAGAGAGGGAGCAATAAGGCATGGAGCCCAGGCTGCCGACGTAATCACTTGCTTTTGTAAGTGGGACGCATCAGGGGGCGTAAGTCGTCATCAGTCTTCTTCTTCGTTGTATTTGTGGTAGAAATTGTCAATGGAGCTAGCATATTGGAGTGAGGGGGGAATTCGGGAAGTGGCCCATATCGAGGCACTTTTGCCACATTGGAAAAAGCTGTACGTATGTATCTGCAGGCTGACGGCGTAGGATGCAACATTTATTTTTGCCTGTGCGTATTTTACGCACAAGGTCGTTTGACATTTTGGAGTTGGTTGGTGTGTGGGCCGGCGGAAAGGTCAAGATAGAGAATAAACGTCATCAGCGTTAGCATTTGTTGCTGTTGCATGACTGCAGGGGAGAAGCGTCAACATTCAATTCCATGGGGCTGGGCTATTCATAGCAAACCTATACCAGTCAGTCAGTCCATGTCATGCATATGAAGCGTGCACAGAATAGAGATGGGCATGGGCCGGCTTCTCTTGACCCGGTACGATCAGTAAACGAAATTGTTCATAGCTCGCCTAATACGCCTAACACAAATAATATAGTCCAAGTCACATCAATGAATTAAGCAATTTTATATAAGTAAAATATTTTTTCAGAAAAATGTATTCTTAATAGTTCTTTATGCTAAATCTGCTTAAAAGTAAGATATTACTATTTTTAACATTGACATTTAAAAACTCACTAATATCGTCACATCTATTTAGCATGACTGTTTCCAACTAAATCACATCCTTTTTTCATATATTCACAAATGAATGGAATTGGACGAAAGATTCAAATCCATACGTACATATGTAGTCATAACGTTTTAGGTATATTTTCTTCGAGCTGTTTTCGTGACTTTTTGAATCAACACGAGCACGTTCAAAAAAAGAAAAGAAAATACGGCCCATGTCCATCTCTAGTACAGAGCAAGGCAAAAACCAAGTAGTCAACATTCAAATACACAAACACACACATAGTCACACCAACAAACACACGCATAGAGAGGCAGAGACACAGACACACCCTAAAGCCAAGCGTTGACGCAGTTGTTGCTACGGAAGTTTATGATTAAGCGTTTTTGCTTCGTTTCAAAAAAATCTAAGCATTTGACCATCAGACGCTCAGACGTATTAAATACTGTTTTGATGGCTAACAAATTCAGCTTGTTGCATATATTTGCAAGGCATTAACATCTAAAGGTGTCTGGCAGACTTTAAAAAAAACCAGACAAGCTTTTTTTGAATTCATTAATGGGTGAAATTGTGCGCGCTTTTTTTCATATGTATGTATGTATGTGTGTGTGAGTGTTGGCGTCAACTGTTGATTCTCCATTAGCAGCATTGCCATTTAAAAACTACAGCTACAACAGATCTATAAGCTATTGAATGCACTTGTTATAAAATCATTAACATTTTCTATATTTAGCAAAGCAAATTGTAGAAATATTGTCACATTTAATTACAATTGAGAAGAACTGCATTTTTGAGCTGGCAATGCTCGCCATAACAGTCATAACAGTTTTCAAAGCAAAAAGGGGCTCGTGCCCAACATCAGAAAGCCAAACACTGAGAGGCAGACAGAGAGGGAGAGAAAGAGCGTCAGCGAGAGGCATCAAGCGAAAAATGTGAGCAAGCGTCAGTGTTGGAGCTGAAACAGCTGTGAATATTATAAAAGTGGCGCTCTTGCGCAACAACAACAACGTCGCAAAACTAGTACGCCATGCACACAAGCTAGCATGTGTACAGTAAAATATCGTTGAGCCAGATGGACAGGAAATGGCAGTTAGTTATGTTTTTATATTTTTTATGATAACGGGTATGCTTGTAGATAAATTTTGATTGAATACAATTGATTGGAGATTAGTCTGTTGATATGAAATGTCTTTCCTAGAGGTTGTTCCTGAACTTATTCCAACCAGCTGTCTTGTAACAAAGGAAACATTTCAGATATAGATCTTTCTTTCTAAATGTGATGGCCCAGTGGCGTTTATTATCAATTGAATCATAAAACAATTATAAAATTGACTGCTTTATAAGGATGAGTAAACATGACTATTTCGAAACCCTGCAATAAAAATTGTGGAAATTTAGCAGCTAAGTTTAAAAGATGTTGCATGTTGACATTTGTAAAATTTGATTTTCAATTTTATCGAGAGTATACTGTGAATATATACATTTTTGCTTGTAGTTTGTTTGTATGTGTGTCTGTCTGTTTTTCTGAATTATCACGTTGTGTTCACGCGTTGACCTCATGATACTGGCGCTGTGTTCACGTGAACAGTTGTTAATAGCCCCCAGACGCAGATGTGGGGTAGGCGAAGCCGACGAAGAAGAAGCAGTAGCAACGCCACAGACTATACACATGTATGTATGCATGTATTTGTACGTGAATACGTTTGTTTGTATCTGCCTCTGTGTGGGTGCTTATGACGAAGCTTGTTTTATTTGTTATTGGAATTTCGTGTATGTATGTAAGTACGTGCGGAACTGAAAGTGTAGTCATGGTCGGTAATATGTTTGCTGTTACTGTTTTTTTTTTTGTATTGCAGTCAAGTAATATAATGCTTATATGCGCGTGTGTGTGTGTGTGATTGCACATTTTGCATACAACACGCCCACAAAGCGAGTTTTGCGTTTATAGAGCTATGCAGTCATCTAAACGAGAAGGCATTTATTTTTTTGTATGCCCCGAGCGTTTCCTTAAACCCACCCCTGAAACATACGCAGTGTTACTTTTCTAAACTACAAATTAAAAAGCTGTATCTTGGAGTAGTATTAGAGATGAGCGAAAACCGAGGCACTGCATATGAGAATCGTGTGGATAAAAACATTTATTGAAGGCAAATTGTTTTAAAGCATCGACTAAAAATGATTTGTACACCCAAAAAAAACGTATCACTCTTTTTTAGATTTAAAGAGTTTACATAAAGTCGAAGAAAATATTTGGTGTCATTGCAGAAGAAGCAATAGTTATTGGTACTGAAATTTGCTATTTTTGCTTTGAAGCCATTTCGATGTATAAGGAGATATGTATTTTGAGGGGTCATAGCCATTTAAACTGCGTTATTGGTGAGAAAATTGCAGTTATAGTATAATGAATATGCCTTGGAAGAAAAAAGTTCTTATTAATAAACATGAAATGGTTGTTAGCTTTTGAAAACTTTTCAATGAGCTCGCCTGTTCTTGATACTATCCACATTTTGAACCATCTCTAATGCTTACTGTGAAGTTTATTATATTTTATTTTAATCATGAATTGTCTAATTTTAGCTCAACTTCCCTGCTAGCACACGCGCGTTCTCATTTCAAGTTCACTTACAAAGGTAGGCAGGTAGACAGCCAGGTATAGAACCCGGTTTGCCATGACACGCATTCTGAATGACAGGGGGATATGCGTACGCTCCATATCTTCCATATGAATGGCCTACGCACAATGTGGGGGTTTGAACTTTGCCTGTGCCTGCAGGCCACGTGCTTTTAAGGCATCGACCACGGCCTACGCAGCTGAGCATTTTTGAAATTGACGTAGGCCGCATTGCTGTGAGTGGGCAAAAAAGAGAGAGTATGTGTGTGTGTGAGTGAGTGAGTGAGTAAGAGAGAGCGAGCAAGTGCGCGAATGAGTACTTTTGGTGAGCGAAGGAGCAGCGATTGACGCAATTTCACATTACGTAGCCGCTACGTGGGTGGGCAGGCTCGCTCGCTCGCTCGCTCGCTCAGTTGTTGTGACGTCACGTGCGCTCCTGTTGCTCCGTGGGCGCTGTTGCCTGCTTCTATTTTTGTTGCTTACTGTATGCAGCGCGCTCTCGAGTTTTGTGGTAAAAGGTCAAGTGGAACCGTTGGCTATGACGTTGCCCCATTGCCTTGGCCAGGCCTTGGTTCAAGGCCTCATCGCAAGCTACATTTTTCATTTCGTTTCGTTTCATTTCGAACCAAAAATTGCTTATTAATGAGCCGAGAGCAGTATGTATGACCAATAACAAAAGAAATCCTCTTTTTATGGACATACATATATACATGTACATATGTATGTATGTAAGTATGTGTGCATGCGTGCTTGTAGCTTGTTGTAATTCGCTTTAGCCAATATTTTAGCTGTCTTGTTCTTTGTCAGCGAGACGTCAATCACAGGTGTGTTTGCGTATGTGTGACGTCAGCGACGTATTTGTTTGCCTGCAACGCCTTCTTCGCTAGCTAACAAATGCCACAAACAGAAAAAACAGACACAAATACACACACGTATGTATCCACACATATTTATAAATGGCCTACACTCTTGCCTATGAGAAATTGTGCTATAATTTGCCACAGCAACATCATTTTCATTCACTTCAATTTTCAATTTTTCAAAAATCTTTTGATGCTTGCTTTGCACTTAGTTTATATTTTTCTTGGCAAAACCCCCAACTTGTCTTCTTTTTTCGCAATTGGCTTTTGTTTTGCCAATCTATTGTTGCTGTTGTTGCTCAACATACACGCGCCAAAATGTGCTCGCTAGTCAATAAAGATACGGTGACGTCATGAGTCAACAAAAACTCGTGACAACGAAAACTCCACACACTTATCCGCTTCTCCGGTTGCTTTTATCTGCCTGCACGATACTGGCTGGCGTGTTGCCCACCTTCGCTGATCAAAAAAAAAAAAAAAATATTCATTTAGCAGAATTATAGATAAATTAAAGATGCGCTACCATCCAATTTGCTGCACAACGTCAAGTTCGGTAAACATTGGAACCGGCATTGGCAGCAAAGTTGCTTGATTGATTTTGGGCGCTAAACGAAAATGCTAAAATGTGTCAAAATAAAGCAGAAATCAAAGTCGGGAGCATGTTCAATATACAATAGAGAGTGCACGAAATTAAATTTGGGT